TTCAGTGCCGTGCTCCGCTGGTGCAGCACGGTGTGAGCCGACAGGTGCTGGGACCTGCGGGGAGACCCCAGCCTCTCGGCAGGATTCTGCACGGACGTAAAGTTTTACTGGATCAGGATCGATTGCAGGACCGGGGTCCGACACACAAACCAGTACAGCAGCATCCTCCAGAGAAGACACTGGCCATAAGCAGGAGTGAGTGTGTGTTTGTGCGTGCATGTGACAAGAAGGGTTATTTTGTGCTGGATCTTCCACCACAGGGATGAGGAGTCAAGCAAGAAGAGAGGCAGGCAGAGATGTCAAAATGTGTAGAGTTGTGTTGACAGGGCAATACAAACACCAGGCAACCACGTTATCTCTGACTTGGATAATTCTCATCAACAGGTCAGCTGAGAAAGCATTTTTTCTATGCCTCTGTGCAATATAGGTCCTGTGGTAAGGGGGATGGAGCCAAGGATAAGAATTTCTCTTTGTCAAGGCACTGCCTGGCTGCCCGGAGGGACCTTTTACGTGGTCCTCTAAATGGAATTTGGCTTCAGAGGAAGATAAGCATTATATCTTAGCAGAAGTGCTTTGGAAAAATACATTAGAAGTAATAACTGTGCCACTTTGAGGCATAAGGACATTTTTATGATAACACAGCTCTTCCCAATGTGTAGCTATTATTTCTGCTGTATTTAGCACAGACTTTTCCCATTTTTCTTGTTGCGAAGTAGGAAATGCATTTGGAGTCAGCAGGCTGCCAGCTGGGGCCCGGGTACGACGCTTGAGGAGCAATTCCCCTCTTCATGGCTGTTTCGCCCCAAGGAGACCAGCAAACAAGCTGGCTGCTTTCCACATGGGGCTCATCTTCAGGACCTGCTAGCATGGGATCTTCTGTTTGCTGTGGAGAGCAAAACATACCCTGCACCGATGAAATTGCTGTACGATCTAGGTTACAAATGTGGTTAGAGAGGTGCTGTACACTTTGTTTGCTGCCTAGGATTTATGGCTTCTTGCTTAGCTAGAGAGACTCGTGCCGTGTGGAGGACATGCTGTCTAACAAACCCCTGAGCTTCTAGAATATAACATGATGAAACTAATTTAAGATTTCCTCCTAGTTATCCTTTTGCTACTGCTTATTATCAAAACACTTGAACAGTTTTCACTCACTCAGCTCCATGTTTCTTTATTTCTTTAGGCTGTGACTCGTCACTGAACCTGACATCTCAGAAAGCCACAGATGCAGTGGACGATATCTTTCGATCCCTCAGGGATATTGCAAGAGCTCGAATGCACATGAAACAGTTTAATTCCATACATAATCCAGGCAGCAACACCCGCCAGGCAAGTGGATCTTTCTTTTCCCTGTGTATGTTATTTCTCTAGCATACTGTCAAAATTACAGCACTAATTTTGTTGATGTGCTAATCCTTTATGTGTTCTGCCCATGTGGAAGATATTTAAGTATAGATTTTATAATTGACCTAATCACCAAGAACTTCCTCAAGTCCTTCGTCCAAACTCAGGCATATCCGTGTCAATGTCAACAAAGAATTGTCTGAGGAAGAAATTTGGGATTTCCTCTGCAGCGCTGTGATACGACATAAATGCCTGTGAAAGGCAGGGCTAGGTCAAGACGGTTCTGGACTAAGACCTCTTATGGCATAGCAAAGCAGGATGCCCACATCCATACAGCAACTATAGTCCTGTGTATTTTCTCTCCCATCCCTAGAAGTGTGAGAGGCAGTCCTGTTTGTAAATAGGCGAAAAATGCAGCTTTTGTTTCTAAAATACAAATGCATGAACTATGATATTACTATAGGTCATCAGGACTAACATACAGTGGTTTTCTCCCTCTCTTATCTCTCCCAAAATGTTTTGACTTTTTCAGTTAAAAATAGAGTTTTACAATGGAAAGCACATACAGTGATTTAGAGAGAGACCGTAAAACTTGATTCTAACCTTAAGCCAGAATGTCACTGGAAAGCTAAGCTGGAAAAAACCTGTTACTGAAGTCTCCTAGCAGTTAGGACCAGTCTGGTGTCTGAAATGGGGAAAATTGTTAAACATTTAATACAGTTCAGTGGGAGGCAGTCAGATGATAAGAAAATACATTCTAAAAGTTTCCTGGAAGTGTAATTAGCTTCACTGTGTTCTTTGGATGCAACCCAGGTTGTTTGCTTAGGGCTAAGTGCTGGAACACAGCAAGGGATGTATAAACACCTTGCAGCCCCCTAACATGGCTACGCAATGGATTTAGTTGCTTGAATAGGACCAGCCTTCTGCTGAGGGCAGTTTAGAGGAGGTTTAGAGTAATGGAAATAAGCAGGCAGTACGTTTTTTTCTGTTATACGTACAGCTTTCTACAAATGGACCTCTCTTTCAACTTGCAGGTGTTAATACATGGGTTATGTGTGATCAGTTTAGCTCCTCTGAAGAAGTAGTGCGCTTTCTGTGACCATACGCATTCCCGGACTGGCTTAGTGCTATGAGAATGGGTTTAAGCTATAGGCGCTTTTCTGCTTTATCTGTTAGGAGCTGGGAAGCCTCTATTTCTTGTTAAGACTCAAAAAAGTAAGTGGGAATTGGATAGCCTCTTGGAAGGACTTTTTGTAGCGCTGAAGTTTATATGTCTTACATAAAATGATGAATGTTTTCATCAGGTTATCAAAGAAGTTTGTTTAGTGACAATGCAAGAGGAGAGTATTTATTTTGCCTGATCATAGAATCATCATAGAATCATAGAATGGTTTGGGTTGGAAAGGACCTTAAAGACCATCTAGTTCCAACCCCCCTGCCATGGGAAGGGACACCCACTAGACCAAGGTGCTCAAAGCCCCATCCAACCTGGCCTTGAACACTTCCAGGGTTGGGGCACCCACAACTTCTCTGGGCAACCTCTTCCAGTGCCTCACCACCCTCACCGTGAAGAATTTCTTCCTTATATCTCATCTAAATCTTCCCTCGTCCAGTTTAAAAGTCATTGCCTCTTGTCCTATCACTACATGCCCTTGTAAAAAGTCCCTCCCCAGTTTTCTTGTAGGCCTCTTTTTGGTACTGGAAGGCTGCTCTAAGGGCTCTCTGGAGCCTTCTCTTCTGCAGGCTGAACAACCCCAACTCTCTCAGCCTGTCTTCACAGGAGAGGTGCTCCAGCCCTCTAATCATCTTCGTGGCCTCCTCTGGACTCGCTCCAACAGGTCCATGTCCATCTTGTCCACCTCCCCAGAGCTGAAGGCAGTACTGCAGGGAGGGGTCTCACCAGCACAGAGTAGAGGGGGAGAATCCCCTCCCTCAACCTGCCGGCCGTCCTGCTTCGGATGCAGCCCAGGATACGCTTG